CACGATTCGCTGGTGGCTCCGCTGCTGCTGGAGCTGGCCGGGGAGGTCACGGACACGGGCGACCCCATCATCCGGCCCATCTGGTGGATCTCCCCGCGCGACGAGGCCGCTCACAAAATTGACTCCCAGTTCCTCATTGGGGACACCCTCATGGTGGCCCCCGTGCTGGAGATGGGCAAGCAGGAGCGCGACGTCTACCTGCCGGCAGGCAAATGGCGCAGCTACAAGGGGGAGCTGTTTGAGAAGACCCCGGTGCTGCTCACAGACTATCCTGTTGACCTGGACGAAGTTGCCTATTTCCTCTGGGTTTCATAATAGACTCCTCCACCAGATTTAAGCTTGGGGATAACCATGCCTTACAATAGGAGTTTATGACAAATAACTATTCTAATTGCATATTTTATTTCGGACTGGCATTGAGGAGGGGAATTAAATGGACTTCACTGTCTTTGAAGTTCTTTTGTTGCTTGGAGCAGGGTGGTTTTTTTTAATTTGGAACAGGTAGGAGACTCGAGATTGGTTATTATAGCCAGAATTTTCTGTGTGTATGTGAAGAAAGAACGGCGATGCTGTCTGCAAAGAAATAGTTGAACCTAATACCTTTTCAGTTCCCAAGGGTTTTGAGAGGTGAAGGTTGGTTACTGCCCAATGAGAATGTTTTTTCCCCTGTGGGAGTGCCCAGCGCTGGGCAAGGGGACATGTGACTTGGGAGGGTTGCTAAAGCACAACCTGCCTTAAGTTTTATAATATGGCAAACACATTTAAAAGGACTTTTTTAAGTGGAGAAAATTATCTAGAGATATATACGTAGATACATGTGCAGATATATAGATTATATATATATTTTTTTCCTTTAGTCTAGCCTGGGACTGGACTAACACTTGCCCTATACTCCTGCTTTCTCGAGTACCAGGCGGGCCAGGTTACTCGATCAATGTGCAGGTATTTTGACCGTACACACTGCATATTGCTTCCTGGGGCACCTGCATCCCACCTAATGCCCACCTAATGCCTGCTGTAGGGCTCTTGCTTTTGTGGTTTGCCTTCAGAGTCAACATTACCTTTCCTAGAGCAGAACCATTCATATCAGTTTGTCCAATTAGTCTTTTTAAAGCATTTAGCATCCTGCTTTAAGACAATTATCCTGGAGATATCTTCCTTCTGTTTTTAAGGAAAGATGGGCTTTCAGAAGGAAAGATGGGCTTTCAGGTTTGTTCGTGGCAGAAGAACTGCCTGAAGCAAGGCAATTCTCAAAAGGTATGTGTGACTTTTCCCTGGGAACAGCAGGTTCTCACAAGTCACACGTGTCTTGGATTTATGAGCCCTGATGGTAACATTTGCTGCTAGCCAGCTTGCTGGTGGGTGGAAAATACTGGCTTTTGCACTGATGGTTTTGTGCCAGTGGGTGTTCATACTGCATCCGAGGAAATGTTCTCATGTACCCTAAAAATTAAGCTAATATCTATCTCCGTCTCAGGTTGGAGTTAGAGAGACCATGATTTTGTTTAGCGTTTTTCTGAAGCAGCTCTTTTCTCTCTCAGAGATTTAGGGGCCTTCCTCAGACAGCATTTGCAGACATGGAGCTGAGGCTGGTGTAAGAGCCTTCTCAGGGGGACACGGAGCGACATGTGCTTCCACCCAAATCCCCCACCGCCAGAACTGGTGAGATCCTGGTTCAGGTCCCTCTTCTGGCCTAGGAGGGATTTACCCCTGCATTTCTTTCCCATCCCTCTCTGGATGAAGTAATGCAAGGCTGCAGGCGTCTTTCTCTCTCAGAGTCTTTCCCATTAAAGCCATTCAGTTTTGTACGGGAAGTTACATTTACAAAGAGACATTGGCAGTCTCTGCTCCAAGAAACAGCTAATAGTATCCGAGTCTGGCAGCCCTCCTCCCCAGGGCAGGACTTTCCCTGCTGTGCCCAGGATAGGAGTGGGTCTCGACACATGAATTTTTAATGAATCTGTGCAGAACTTAACTGCTCTCACTGGGAGGATTCGGAGTGCCCTGCCCATTCTGCGGCCAGCCGAGGAGAGCTCAGCATACACAGGGCTTTGCAGGTGATTGCATTTGAGCTGAGCATGGGTCTGGCATGAGTGTGCTACATGCCACTCAATACCAGTGATGGTCTTTCTCAAAGCCCACCTCCTGCACTGGGCTTTGCAGGAGGCAGAAGAGGTGATATGCCAAATCTGTAGATCGTGGTGGCATCCAGGAGCAGAAATGCAGGTGCCTGAGCAAAAAATCTAAAGAGCTTGTATGATTAGGGAGGAACTGAGGAAGGTTTTGGAGATGCACAATTTGAGGGACTGTTTGGAGCATCTTCTGAGGTCTGAATGGACCTGCCCTGCATAACTTGGTGTTTTGGCCTCAAAACCAGATGTAGGAGAGCCCTATGGTTCCCTGTCCGCCAGGAGCACAAACATGTCCTAGGCTCAGCTCCAAAGCCTGCTTCTTCTGGTTTTAGCTACGAAGGTCTCGGATTTGCTCCCTGGCATCAGTCCAAATAGTGATCCTTGTACCACTTAGAGACATGCTCTGGCAGGGAGTTGACTCTGGACCCCTGACATAGATGATCATGGTTTTTTCTGAGAAAAAACTTCTTCACTGTGAGGGTGACAGAGCATTGGAACAGGTTGCCCAGAGAGGTGGTGGAGTCTCCTTCGCTGGAGATATTCAAAACCCGTCTGGATGTGATCCTGGGCAATATGCTCTAGGTGACCCTGCTTGAACAAGGAGGTTGGACTAGATGATCTCCAGAGGTCCCTTCCAACCTAAACGATTCTGTGTGATTCTGTGTATGGCTCCGGCAGGGTTTGGCACTGGCAGGGTTTGGCCCTTGGACTGGAAGGAGGAGATGAAGGTGAAGAGCTCATGGACACAAGTCTGGTTGCTGCCTCTGAGGAAGGTGAGGTGCGGAGAAGGCCTTCTGCTCTTCCCCGGCTTCTGGTGCTGTGTTAGGTAGACAGAGGGCCTGAGCCCTGTCCATTGCACAGTTTCCTCCTGACCCTGCTTATCAGCAATACATTTCCAGCCCCAGAAAAACATAAAGGCTGCAGATCTAGTTCTTCACTTTCAACCTTGCCTTGTGAAATGGCTTGTTCTCCCTTGGCTCGGGTGTAGCCTTTGCTGCACAGTCCAGCTGCCAGTGACACTCTACAGCCCCAAACGCTGAACTGCATGTAAAAGAGCCCACTATGACCCATGGATGTTGCACATCTTCTCCTCCTCTCCTCCACTGTGTCACTCGCTGCAGACCTCGCTAGTAAGGGGTCAGGCTATGTCAGCTGGTGAGGAGTAACTTGGCATTTCCTTTAGCGTCTTTTTATTATCAAAATATTGAGAGTAATGCGATGAGTGTTTTAGATCTCCTTGCAGTGGTTTCAGGGGTTAAGAAAACCTGGTGTACTTTGTACTGGACCAGATGAAGAGAGCTCGCACATGCTGCTACCATGTCTCCTTGCAGGAGATAGATAACTTCTCCTCTAACACCATTTGATGCGGCTCACAGGCACTTGCCCGGTCCTGTGTGTGACCAAAATGGCCATGTCACTACAGCCCTGCTGTCACCAGTGAAGAAAGGGAGGACAAGGGCATCACAACCAAGGGCAAGGAAAGGCATCATAGAGATAAATTTTCCAGTGTGTGCTTAGAGATGTCAGTCTCTCTCTTTCAGGACTTCAGGGGAACCTGGAAAGTGTGAACATATCACAGAGAGGTCAAAAGGCAAAGATCAATTTGGCTCTCCCTTCGCACGGCCTAATCGAACCAACGCACTGGCCATTTGGAGCAGACAGAAGTTTCTAACATCTCTGGGTCTTTGAATTGCTGTGGGCTACTCCGAAATGTATACCATACTGGGTGCACGAGAAACTGCAATTCAAGCTGTGCTTTCCAGTTTCCCTTTGGTTGTGGTGGCAAACTAGGGCATTCATGTGAGTTATGAGATTATAAAGTCTATCTAAGGTGGCTGGATCCTGGCAGTTGTGCCATGAAAGCACCAAAGTTCAACTGGGTACTGTCAGGAAGGTCCGGGAGGAAATTCCCCATAGACAATCTGTCTTTCTTCCCCTCCCCTCAAAAGAAAGAATTTTATTACCATAGTTTTTTTTTTTTACTATCTTCATAAATCAGTACAGTTATAGACTGTCCTTTTATAAGTGCTGTAGTTAGAGCATAAGTGCCTATGGCTGTTCAAAGCTCCAGCCAGGAGACAAAGTGAAGTTACTGTTACAAGGACATGAGGGATGAAACTGAAGAGTGGGTGACTGACCAAGGGTCCAGGTGGGTGGCTGTCCAAGGGCCCATGGGACCAAGGCTTTCCCCCATGCTGGGGACATGTTCTTCGGCAGCCTGCCTTTAGCATGGGTTTTGCTGAGGGTGGTAGCTCGGAAATGCTGCCTCGAGACATTTTGCAGGCCTCTAGGTACCCTTTCCATGAAACTTTTTATTACAAACACTATTTAAAACACTACTTTACTGTAGTTTTGCAGCCCAGCTATAATATCCATAGGGCCTTGCAGACCACAAGCAGTCTGTGCACAAACGCTTTGGGAACCACTAGCCTCAGATCGTTTCCCTGGTTTGCACCATGGGTCATCGTCCAAAACAGGGATTGTTTGACTCAGCCAAGGAAATGGCCAGGGACAGGTTTGGTGGGTTGGTTCAACCTTTTCTAGTCCATACGGCTCATACCCCTGCCTGTGTCTGATCATGGCTGAGCAGCGGGTCAACATGACTTTGATGTGTTTGAATTTGAAGCTTGCACTGTCATATTGGGTTTAATGGATGCTTGTGTTTGCACATGCCTTCTTAAATCAGACTGTAATGTTGCTGCGTTTATTTTTAACCACTTTTCTAATTCGTAATTGTTATGAAAACAAACTGTAACATTAATTGTCTTGATTGATATAAAACTTTGCAAAACAAAAGGAAGCTTCACTATGTCCATCTATGCCAAATGAGTGGGGCCAATTGTTCAGGCAGTGAATAACACATTTTGGGCTGTTGTCACCCCAGACTTTACTGAAATTAGAATTGAGATTGTTGGTTTGTTTAAAGCTTGCATTTTGAGGCTTTTACATGTATTTGAAAGAGAGGAAGTGGCTGCTCCCACCCGCCCCCCATTTGCAGAAGTAGTGGGGGGTTGGGATAAGAATGCTCCATCCTCTACCGTGGGCTGGTTTGCATCAGGAATTGCCCTCCCGGGGATCCCTAAAGCAAAGGGAATAGCTGTGTCTTGGGGCAGGCCTGGAAAAGACCATGCCCAAGCAAATCCCGCTGCTGCCTCGGCCCCCCCAGGAGGGACTGGGCAACCGCTCTCCTATTTCTGCAGGGAAACGGCAGCTAACACCTCAGCGGTAGCTGCTCCGGCCCCACGGCATCACAGCCCAAAGGGGCCCGTTTGCATTGACACCGGGGGCGGACGTGTTGGCAAAGTAAGGAGACTACAGAAGAAAACCAATTCATTTCAAACCTAATTTCAGAGAGGTTCCTGGGGGGGGCGGGGATGAAAATCACAGCTTTGATTAAATAGTAAAAAAAAAAAAAAAAAGCAGACAGATAGATAGACACAGACCAAGCCTGGGGGAGAAACACATTAAAAGGACACGCTGACAACAACAGATTCCCTCCAGGCACCCAGCCAGGCTGGCTACCTTAGGAAAAAAAAAAAGAAAAACCCTCCTCGGTCGCAGCTAGGCTTGAACCACGCAAGAGCTGCCAGCCTGCAGGTCCCTCGCTCCCTCTCGGCTGATGTAAAAACCCAGCAGCCAAGTAGAGAAAGGCAGTGATTATTTTTTTTTAGCTGGTGGGGGTTAGGTGATTTTTAGCTAAGTGACAGCCAAAGATTAAGGGCAATACAATCTCCAAGAAACAGGCAGTCGGGGGCTCGCAGTGGGCTGGGGGAGATTGCTGTGGCCAGCAAACACGGAGCTTACTTGGAGCTAGGAGCACAAAACAAAACAAGCCAGGGCTGAAGCTCAGCAACGCAAACACTATGTTCTCCTGGCGGCAGGAGGCCCCCGACGCAGCGGGAGGGCTCTGGCATGCGTCAGCGCGCGGCTCGGCGGTGACGCCTGCTCGCGGGGCGCCGCTGGCTCGGGTGGCCCCGTGCGACCCCCCCAGCAC